GGGGGGGGGTGGGGGGGGGGGGGGGGGGGGGGGGGGGGGGGGGGGGACAAAGGAGGCACCCAGGGCCGGTTGCCTCGAGGCTAGCAGCTGCCAGAGTTGCCAGGTTCCGATGCTTGGCCCAAGGCCTGCCAGGTTGCACTCCCACCCTCCATCTTCCCGTGCTTGCACCAAGCTCCTGCTCCCAGTCTCAGCCTTCCAGTAACATTTCTTAGGCATTTTCTTTCCCTAAACACACGGGCACAAGACTGGGCTGCACATCCTCCTTCACAGCCACACAGCACTTGGTCTTCTAATAAACAAACTTTTTCTCTTGCCTGCCAGCACATTAGGAGGCCCTGACTTCCTTTCCCTCCCAGCTCCAGAAAATCTCACTCACTCACTTGCTTTCTGTGCAATATCCTGGTGATTGTAGCCTAAGCCAAGTGCTTCGGTAGCCAAACAAACCTCCAAGCTAATACAAACACCGCTTGACTTACCGGCTTCTGGTCTATTGGACTCAGGGCACCTTCCGTTTTGATAAGCGACGTGTTGGCTCCATGCCACATGATTGGGAAGATACATAGTTCAAATCAATACAGGAGATTGTTTTCCCAACAAGGCAAGTTCAATAGACCCCCTGCACATACACAACTGACAAGCAAAACAAACACCGTGCTCATCACTGAAGCAAAAGGCTCGCTCACTAGAGTAGATTTGCAAAGTGAGCCTAGCGCATCAACAGCGCCTGCGATTTTCCGTTGGTCAGTGTCAGAGTCTCTTCACTAATGGCGAGAATGAATTACCAGGACCTGCAGGGAAGATTGTACCACCTTGAACCCTGGCATTTTTATGGGCGAGATCACCCAGGCCCCTGCAGTGACTTATGGCAGCATGCTCCCGGGGAGTGGTCTCCACCGCCAACTATAAGCTTTTAGAGCATACACAGAGTGATTTATAGATTCTGAATCACATGGGCCCAGCAGCTGGGCAGATGATGACAAAATAAGGTGAACACAGCCAGAAAAAGGTGCGAGGTCTGCAGAGGGGGCTCAATACAATGGCATTTGATTGCAGGATATTAACACAAGGATCATGGGATTATTGTGAGTCTTGGCATGCAAAGGTGGGTGATTGCAATGCTGTTAACCTGGCTGCCTTATCAGCCCTTCCTGATGGGCAAAACAGCAGCCCTGGCAGCTTCTTGAGGCCATCAGGTCTCACTTCTTAAAGTTTAGCAAATGCCAAACAGGACCCTGGCTTGGAATTTTTGTCTGCTTCCTGAAAAAGGGAAGATTTTATAACACAAAGGCACATAAAGCAACCCTTTTCTGCCAGGATTTATCTGGATTTCCCCAACATCAGTAATTAAGGGCATAACACTTCACCTGCTGAATGGAATCTAAATGGTCCTGGGAAATGCAGTGCCCAGCTCCGTCCTTGGCTGGAGCTGGGACTCCAAATCCAGAGCACCTTCCGCCTGTGGAACCAGCACAGCTCCAAGTTCAGAAGAGCAGGCCCTTGTTGGGCTCTCCAGGGAGCAGGGAGGGAAGGAGCTGATGCGGCCCTCACCCTCACCCTCAGCCCATCCTCCCCATGAGCAAAAGACTGAAACCAGGTCCAGTGCTCCTCAGAATTGGCCGCCTAAGGCTGCAGGGCGAGGGATGCACAGACACAGCCTTTGCCTTCGCAATCCTCCCGTCGCTCAGAAGCCTCCCCATTTGGAGCGACATGAGAGCACAGCACCTGTGAAACCGTAGGGCGCAGCACTACGCCACATACT